CGCACGCCTGTCACACTTCCTGGGCAGGGGCCTGGCTGGGATTGTGATGAGGGATTTCATCCCCAGCCCCCCTCCCCCCGAAACCTGCTCAGTGTCACCCAGACAGCATCCTGGCTTCTCCCCTGCACCAGGCTTGGTTTGTATCCACCACCTCCCCGCTCCCCTCTCACTACCTTACCTGCAGTGGGGTTCCACATGTGCCCGCGGGTGCCTGACTGCGAGAGGGAGCTGGGATGTGCCCAGTCGGGCTATTTTTACCCAGCCCTGTCCTCACTGGGCTGTTCTTTGGCTCTGAGTTACCGCCTGGGAAGCGAAGCCGCTGCCAGGGCTGGGGGTGGGTGAGCCGGAGCCTCCGAGCCTCCTGGACCCCCTTGCCCAGGCAGCGTCTCATCCTAACACTTACTAAAGTGTGTAATTAACGTTTAGAGATCCCTTCCAAGAGCATATGTAGAAGACAGCCCTGGTGGGGAGAAAGGAGGCACCCACACCTCTGTAACTTGCAAACTTCAGGCTTCCGGAAGCTTGAACCCAGCCGACCTCCACCTGGTGTGTCACTGGGGGTCAACGGGATAGGGCCCCAGGGGGTGGGGTGGGAGGGAGTTGGATAGAGGCCATTAGGCCTGGAGACACCCCTGGTTGTCTTCTCTCAACACCCTGAAGACCATAATAGCTCAGATTTGTTGGTCCTTTTCTGTGTGTGCTTAGCATGTGTACTAACTCGTTTCCTGATGACCGTTAACTCCCTTCTGTGGATGGGGAAACTGAGGCACGGAAAAGTTCAGTAAACCTAAGGTTGCAGAGCTGAGGGGTGGAGCTGGGGTTTGAACCCAGTGGGTCCACCTCCAGAGCTTGCTCCCAACACTGCTCTGCCCCCCTCTCCTCTCTGCCGTGTTCCCAGCATCCGTGAGGTATGAGGCACTGTTCTACATAGGTTCTCTACGGCGGTCTTGCCAGCTGGGTGTTTCCAGCTCTGTTTGTAGCTGAGGTTCAGAGACTGAACACCTCCTCCGGGGTTGCACAGCGGCCAGTGAGCATGCCAGCCGGGCACCTGGGCCTCGGGGTTGCCGCAGTTGGGCTCTTCCCAGCCCCCCATTCTGCGGCACAGTTTGCTGTCACAGGCACTTGCCGCTCACCTGCCATGTGCCCCTTGCGGTGCTGATGCTGGGGGTTCGGACGCAGACGTCCCCATGGTGACCCCCCGGAGGGCCTGCCTTCTCGCGGGGAATGTAGGAGTGGGGTCCCTTGGAGTCCGTGCCCTAGCTGCCATGAAAATGGAGTAGTGGTGTGTGTGACTTGGAGGTGGCGTCCCACTAGGGCCAAGTGGGGGGTGGGGAGAACCAGATGAAGTCCTGGTGTCTGGGCCCTGCCGCCCCCGCCCCCGCCCCCGCCCCCGGGAGTGTGGACAGCAGAGCGTTGTTGGCCCCTCTGAGGCTGGGATGCCCTGTCCCACCATGGGAATTTTTTTTTACCAGCTGTTGAATTCAGCCTGTGCCAACTTCCTACAGAGGAAGGGGTGACTTTGGGGCCCACTGGCCGGCAAATGCTGCTCTCACTGGAGAGGGGCTTCCACAGGCAGCCTGTGCGCCTCTGGGTTCCCACTTCTCGCCAGGGCCAGCTGCATCCAGTCCCAGCTGGAGACAGGGTGGGGAGGTGGAGGGGGACACTGGGGATGCAGACCTGCCCTGCCAGAGCAACTGGATAGGGCCTGTTTTCCCAGCCGCAGGCCGCCGATCTCGGGTTTCTGATAATTCCCCAGGCCTAGCCTCTTGAGGAAGGCATACTTCCTAGTCTCCAAGCCAATGAGCAGTGGCCTTCTAGCACCTTCCAGCAACTGCCTGTGCTTTGCCTCCCTTCCTGACGTGTTTGGGATCAGAGCAGGCTGTGCCCCCTTCCAGCAGCACCCTTCCCAGGCCCGGGGCTACACCAAGCCCTTCCCCAGACGGCCCAGAGGAATGGGAGCAGGGTCAGGACATTCCCGAGGGAGGAGCAGGGGTGACAGAGCCACTTTTGTCCAGAACAAATGCCAAACCACTACTGTCCGTCTGGACAAACCAGGGTATCTGGTTACTTTTCTTATAGCTGTCTTTATATTGTTTGAATTTAGAGGAAAACTGCTAGAAATGGTTTTGAAGTCCTAAAAATTTTAACTTGCCTTGGGCAAACAACAGTGGGTCAAATGAAAACGTGTTAATGTGGGGAGGCAGCTGATTTTAAGAGAAAAAGCTGGTATGTTGACAGTGTGCGTGTGTGTGTGTGTATGTGTGGGTGTGGCGAGGGGGCTCTGAGGGGCCCCGACTTGGCATGTCAAGAGCCTGGCTTCTGTAGCAGGGAAGTTCCAGGGCAGACCCCGCCCACTCTGAGCCTCATCTTCCCCATGTGTCAGACGAAGACTCGGAATCCTTTGTCCCTGCCCTGTACTCGTCCTGGGGCTCTCCTGGGGCTGTTGTCAGAGCCGGATGGGGCTATGTATGCACACCGCGTGCTCTGTCAACTGTGAAGGGCCAGGCAGATGTGGATTCTGCTCAGTCAGGGGATAAAATTATGCCTGAGGAAGTGGTGGTCTTGTTGGGAGAGAGTGACCCCCGTGGGGGCATCTGACCCTGCTACTGCCCCAGCTGTGGCCGAGACAGGCCACTCTTTTCTCTTGGCCCAGCTGTTGGGAGTGGGTGTGTTGCTCTGGGACATCCGGTGAGAGGGGCTGTGGTCCCCACCCGCATAGGGTGAGTTGGGGGTCTCTGGGCAGAGTGCCCGGCAAAAACGGGGCCTCTACATCTCCGTGTCCACTGTGACAAACATGGATTAGCCACCCGTAGGCCAGGCCGGACACCCGAGGAGCATGGCTGCTGGTCTCTACTTGGTGCCCTGCCTGCCCCCTGGGAGCGTGGTGGGCAGCGGCCTCCCCGGGACCCCTGCTGACCGTGCTTTGAGGAGAGTGTAGGCGCTGGTGGCTCACAGTCCAGTCCTCCCCTGCCACCAACTCCCATGGGGCCCCAGGCAAGTCCCCCCCCCCACGAGGGGAGAAAGGAGACCCAACTTATGGGGCTCTGAAGACCAGAAGTGGCCAAGGACTCCTGGGAGCCCCAAGGCAGGCCTTCCTCGCAAGCGCTAACCTCCCCCCGCCCTCGTGGCTGAGAAGGCAGAAAGCTCACAGGTAAAGGGACAGAGCCCAGGCGCCTCCCCTCCGTGGGCCATCTCCCCGCTGCCTGGCTTCTCTTCCCGGGGCGCGCACTGACGCAGGTGCTCCCTGCCGCGGCGGGCGGTGGGCAGCATGGGCTGGAGTGCCCGGGCTCCACACTTATTAATGTGCTCCTCGGATGGGCACTCTTCTCCTTGTCACCATGAGACGGAAAAACGCATGAAGTGTGGGTCGCAGCCCTGATAAATGGAACCAAGCTGGTGGTGGCCAGAGGTAGGTGGCCGTCTGCCTGCTGGCTGGAAGACTTCTGGAGCTCTGGCAGGCTACTCTCTGAGTTCCTGAATACCCTCGTTCGTGAACTGGGGCTAAGAAGCCCTGTTCTGAAGAGTTGTCATAAGCCCACCGAAGATTCTGTGTTAACTCTCTTGTTCTGTCTCCGGACCTTGGTGACTGCTCAGTAAATGTCGGTTTCTCCTAGGATGCAGCTTCGGGCTTGCCAATGAGGGGACCTTACTTAGGGTCCAAGATCTGATGAGGCTGGGAGCTGTGTGGGATTGGACGAGTGACATCAAGGTGGAAAGGACTGTGTGAACACTAGGGGTGGTTTTAATTAAACAGCCCCTCGGCCTCCCCAGTCAGGGGGCCCTGGCTGCCTGATGCCGACTTTATTAGTCCATGCGATGCTCAGCCCGAGTCAGGGCACAGGCAGGAGCCAGGCTCATTATTTGCCATCTATACTTAGGCCAGGAAGTCTTGGTGGGGAGAGACCGCCAGGAGGGCTGCCTGCCCCCCACCAGCAGCGGGAGACTGCGCCCTTCTCGCTGGGCCCAGCCAAGCCTGTCTTTGACCACCTTCCTTGCCTGTGCCTGATCCTGTTCTTGTCTGAGTGCCTAGAGGCCCTGCCCAGCCTTTGTTCTATTACCCGTCTCGCAGTCCTGGGGCTGCGGGGAGTGCCTCTCACAGAGGGTTCTGCCTGCCCTCGTGGGGGAGCACACCCAAGAACCTTGGGAGTAGCTTGATGTCTCAGAGGGGAGCAGGTGGAAGCAGGGCGTCCTTGGAGGTGGCAGCCCTAAGAAGTGGTTTGTGGAGAGCTGCCTCTCAGACTGGCTACACTCCGAATAAAGCCAGAGCTCTTGACATGCAAGATGACTTTAGCAAAAGGTTCCAGCAGGTATTTGTCTCGCGCTGCTGACCTTGGCTGGGCCGTGTGCTGGGCACTGGGGACCAACCCCAAGCTCAGAATCGAAGGACCCAGTGTTCTCGCTCCCCAGCATGGCTGGGGTGGGCCATGGCAGACTGCCCCTCCCAGGCTCGCGCCACGTCTTGCGGCCAGAATTTATTCATTGAGGTCCTCCCGAGTGACATAGTGATCCTATATAAGATCCCATTGTCATTCTCAATTTACCGCGGAGAGAACTGTGGTTCACAGAGGTCAGTTGACATGCCTGGAATCATGGGGGACAGATTCCATGCTGCGTCCATCTGCTAGGTCGGGGTCGCTGTTCTTGGGGGCCATTCATTACAGCTATGCCCTTAACTCTGTCACAAAGCTGCTTGTGCAGACTGTGATGGGGACCCTGATGAGCTGTCCAAGTGCCCTGAGCAATGTAGCCGGCCCCTTCTCCATGGATGGCTGTCCCCGGGGGTTCTGACTCCTCACTGGACTCTCACAAAGCAGCCTTTGGGAGAGGTCCAAGACAAATAACCTGCCAGGTATTCCTATTCTCAAGGTCCTGGGGTCTGGGCCTCCCTGTCCCCCACCGTCTGCTGTTCCTGTCCCTGATGGTGTCCTTGTAGTCTGATGAGGTGTGCTGAGCCCCGGGGAGCCAGCCTCACTCATTCTGTCCCTCTCTGTCTTTCCCAGGGCAGCGAGGTGTCAGGCCCGACCTTTGCTGATGGCGAGCGCCTCCCCAGGGTCCCCGGCTTCTTTCCTGAGGACGAGGAGGAGGCTATGACACTGGCCCCACCCGAGGGCCCCCCAGAGTCAGACATGGACAGCCCCATGGAGAGCACCCAGAGTCTGGAGGGGTCAGTTGCCGAGGAGAAGGATGGAGGGCTTGGGGGCCTGTTCCTGCCGGAGGACAAGTGAGTTAAAGCTGCCTGGAGCTCCACATATCAGAAAGTGGTGGCCACGGCCAACCCAGAGGTTTGGGGAGGGGAAGGGGTGCCAGTATCAGTCGAGCCATATGAAATTGTCAATTCTTCATCACTTCTGACCTTCAAAAAAAAAGAAGAAGAAGAAGGCAATTTCATATACATTTTCTCAGTGCAGGGCTTCTCAGACTCCAGTGGCTCTGGGAGCCAGGCTGTTCTCGGGGGGGCGGGGGGGGTCTTTGGAGTTGTTCATCCATTTTGCGTCCTGAGAGCAGTCCATCAGGGGTACTATGACCAGCCACCAAGGACAACTGGTCAGGGACCACAGACCTGGTGACCTTTTGGCTAACCATTTGCCACTTGGTCGTTAACCTTGTTTTTTGGGACCAATCACCTGGAGGCAGCCAGCGGGGTGGGGCGGTGGGGGCAGTTTTAGTAAAATGTCTAGGAGAAAGAGCTGAGGAGTATAATGAATTCCACCCAAGGCGCTAAGGAACTTGAGGGCAGAGAAATGAGTTTCAAAAAAACAAAAAACAGGGTGGAGGTTCTCAGATAGAGACCAGGATGGCTCAAGGGCACGGTTGGAGAATTACCGCCTTAACCGGTTCCCTGCTTCTCGTCACTGAGTCGGGTTGCCCAGTGTGGAGCGTGGAGGCCTAGGAGGTCAGAGAACTATCCCTCATGAGAGACGATACGCAGACACGACCTCACAACAACTCAAGGGAAGGTCTGTTTGGCAGGTGACCAGCTGTGCTTCCTTCTCAGGTTGCGGTCAGGGCTCAGCCAGCCCCTGACGCCCCTCACAGGCCACACGGTGGGTCATCCCAGAGAGGCCTAGGGTCTCTGACCCACGTTCTTTGCAGCGAGGCTTCTTTGGACCAGAAGTCCCCTCTGTAAACCGGGAGGAGCACCTCACCTGGTAGTTCACGGTTATTTATTTTAAAATCTCATTTCTTATTAGAGTCCAAGCCAATTAAACAGAACTTGCAAAAGGTAGGAAAGGGAGAATGGAGGGGAATAACCGAGCTACTCCTCATCCCACCACCCAGACCCCAGCCCTGCGACCATGGAAATAGTTTCATGCCCTGCTTTTCCTTATTCTGTAGACACCTTTTACTTTCTCCGGCTTAAGTTTTTACATGTAACTTTTAATTCCTACTGATCTTTCCATATTATTGCTAGTATCGTTTACAAACCTTTCAACAATTAGATAATCCATAATTTGATAATTTAATTTCCTAATCCATATTATAATTTTGCAACTGTAAATCATTTAATGTGCTAATATTAGCAACGTAGAATGTATGATTTTATATGCTATATGAGTAATTATAATTTATTGTGACTTAGGGAAGCTATTAGGCAGTAAGCAGTGTTTTGGTGCTCTAGGGAAGCAGTGGCTTGGACATCTCTTGTGCAGAAACCGTTTCTGTGGTGAGATGTGTTCCCTTAGGATGAGGTCGCCGAAGTGTACTTACCAGGTCAGAAGGCACAAACTCGATCAGGCCTCTGCTCTCTGGGGCGCAGACTGACCTCCAGGAAGCCTGGTCTGTTTCCCCAGCACGGGCTGCAGACGGGGCTGTGTTAACGGCCAACCTTCTCTGACGCCCAGGTCCTTGGGCCACACTCCGTCCATGACCACGTCAGACCTCTCCACGCACTCCACCACCTCGCTCATCAGCAACGAGGAGCAGTTTGAAGACTATGGGGAGGGGGACGACGTGGACTGTGCCCCCAGCAGCCCCTGCCCCGAAGACGAGACCAGGACCAATGTCTACTCAGACCTGGGATCTTCAGTGTCTTCCAGGTGGCCCCGGGGTCTGGAATGGCATTTGGGGTATAAGGAGAAGTGGCCAGACCAACCCAACCTCGTCCCAGGGGGGTTCAGAGGGCGGAGTCCTAAGCTACATGGGTTCTGCTCCCAGAGTTTGGGGGTGCTGCCTCTGCACTCGGGTGGGGGTCTAGAATTCCTCCTCCCTCCTCCTATCTCAGGGAAGAAACAGAATGAACCCACCTGGGAGGCTGCAGACTCAGGGGTCTTTGTTGTCTTGCTTCCTAGTAGAACCTTGGTGTTGAAAGGTCCTAGGTGACCTACACACCTTCTAGGTGACCCACACACCTAGTCATTGCTTAGCTCTCAGTTGCCGTATCTATGAAATGGGTACCGTTCATTGGCTTCTCTGAGAGTATTGAGGGAGGGGAGATCTTTTGCTATATTTCTACTTCCTCTGCCCCTAAACGCACAGAACACAAGGGTCCCCAGTATTGCGGGATCCAGTAAAGTAAGCTCAGCAGGATGAGGTGAGGCAGCAGATCGGAGAGCAGGAGGTGATTTCTTTCTCTCCTGAATCAGTGCGGGGCAGACTCCTAGGAAAATGCGGCACACCTACAACAGTGAATTGCTGGATGTTTACTGCTCTCAGTGTTGCAAGAAAATCAACCTGCTGAATGACTTGGAAGCCCGACTGAAAAACCTGAAGGCCAACAGGTGGGGCCCCAGGACCCAGCAGAGGGATGGGAGGCCAGGGCTAGGTGGGGTGGGGTGGGGTGGGGGGACCCAGCGGGGGAAGCCGCAGGCGAGGTGGCCCCACTCTGTCTTGGCAAGTGTGAGAGCACTGTCAGAGTAGGATTGATCCTGGGGAGCTTGCATTTTTCTGCGACAGGAAAATCAGGGTGCTTCTACTCGGGACCAAGCTGATTAGTGAATTCCCTGCAGGGGGTGGGACAGAGCCCCATACTGCACTTTGGAGTCTTGCAGAGTTAGAAGTAGCCTGGAGCCCCCTCTGTTCAATGACTGTCCTTTCTCTCTCTCTCTCAATCTCTGAATCTCTCTCTCTAGCCCTAACCGGAAGATCTCTAGCACAGCCTTTGGACGGTAAGGCCTCCCTTGGGAGGAGGGGTTGAATGCTGTCTCCCTTAATTATGCTCCTACTGCCAGGGTGGCCCCCTGAACACACAGAGGGGAATGAAGCATCCCAGAAGTGCAGGCCAAGCGGCCAGAAGAGGTCTGCTTCTGAAAAAGAAGGGTCACACTCCTCCCACCCCTACACCTTGCCCCTTCTGGCGGTGGTGCAGTTGGTCTCGCCCCAACCTCTCGCTGTGTCAGCTTCAGGTGGGCACAGCGGTGATGCCCCGAGGGACCCGGCCCATCTCACGGCCCTTGGTGGCCCTCCCTGCACTCTGGGGCCAACAGCTGGACCAGCACCTCTTGGGTTTCCCACTCACAGAGATTGGGCAGCAGGGTGCCCCGTTGGAGCTGGTCACTTGGCTCCAGGTTACATCCTGCGCAGCTCACTTCCCGGGATTTCCAGGATCCCACTCTGGATCTCAGGATCCAGGTTCTCCGGCCGACTGGCCCAGGTCCACGCCCAGGGTTCCGGGAGCAGCCAGCAAGCACCCAGGCTGGGACAGGAGAGCTCGTTGGCGGAGACCCTGACTGCTGCCTGGCAGGGAGTGGGGAATGGGGGCCTCTGGAGAGCGGTAGCTGGGTTTTGCCTCCAGCAGGCGTTCCCCGGCAAGTGTTTCCTGTTTGCAGACCACCCCCCCACCGCTGGCCGCTCATGCCCTGCCTGGTCTGGGTGGGCCTCCTTCCCTCTGCCCTCTCCCAGGGTCCCCAGAGGTACAGCAGGAGCCGGTTTGCTACAGGGGATTGAGTCTTGCGGGGAGGCCTCAGGAGGACCGTCTGCCAGCCCTGTGGAGCCGGTCTACCCTCACGGGGCAGTTACGCAGCTGGAGGGAGGTGGTTGGGGGCTCACGTGCCCACTCCGGTCACTGGCTAGTTGCTGGCTAGAAGACTGGCCTGAAAAGGGAGGTGAGGCAGCAGGGCAGAGCCGTGAGGGACTGGCCATATCCGCCAGGGGCTCTGGAGGGGTGTCACGCCCAACTGCCTCTGAGCTGGATGATCTCTGAGTTCAGGTCAGGCAACTCTTCTCCCCTGACTGGATGAGGACCGCCTCCTTGGATGGGTTTCTGGCCTCCCTCCCCAACATAGTGGGTACCCCCTCTCGGCCCATAGCCTGCTCTGGACCCCAGCCCCCGGAGGGCTGCTTCTGCAGCTCGCTCCAGCCCCCCCCTCCCCCCGCCGCAGGCAGCTCATGCATAGCAGCAACTTCAGTAGCAGTGACGGCAGCACTGAGGATCTGTTCCGGGACAGCATTGACTCCTGTGACAACGACATCACGGAGAAGGTGGGGCCTGGGGGCCCGGAGAGCCTGTCCTTGCTGCAGGAGGTGGGGGTAGGCGGCCCTGGTAGCGTGGGCACATAACACCCCCCCCTCACCACCCTTCGTGCAGTCACTTGGGGGGCTGGCCGTCCGCCCCACGGTTTCTGCTTCTCCATCCTGTGCACTCAGAGGTTTCCTCCACCCCCACTTCTGCTCCCCTCTTGCAGGTGAGCTTCCTGGAAAAAAAGGTGACTGAACTGGAGAATGACAGCCTGACCAATGGGGACCTGAAGAGCAAGCTGAAGCAGGAGAACACGCAGCTGGTGCACAGGTCGGGGCCAGGGGGCTGGCTTGGGTGGGCCCCGGCTGACTCAGGAACGGATGGCGGTCTCTGTTGTGAGGGCCCCTGAGAAAAGCTGGGGGAGGTCACCTGCACGTCTTGTCCTTCCCCTCTAGAGGCTGTGATGCATCAGCCCCTTGCTACATGGGCCTACCCCTGCAGGACACCCAGAACTGATCTCTGGGGACTCGGAAATGGGTTGGAGCCTGACCTTGACTCCCAGGTCTGCAGCCCCAGGGTGGGTCTAAGGCAGGAGTTGGGATCCGCTTTCCTATTTCTCTGACCCCTCCCCCCGCCATCTGGGGACAGGCTCTGCAGAGGGAGAGACTGGTGTGAGTCAGGGGCTCGCACCTGCTGCTTGTGGAAGGGTCCAGGCATCGCTGCCCCCGCTCCCGACCATGATTGCAGCGAGGTAGGGCTTGCACAGTGTAGTGGTCCTCACGGGATGGCATGAAACTTGGTAAACTGATCCCCAGCCGGGGTCTGGTCCTCAACCTTGCAGGGCCCAAAAATGGGTTCTCTTGGACACCCCAGAAGGTCAGCCTCCCGGAGGGACTACTGCCAGTGAAATGTGCGCTAGACTGCTCTGCCAGCTAGGCTGCTGGGTCTGGCACGCTCAGGGCCACTATCAAAGGACTTACTCATTTTTGGAATCAAGGTGGCCAGTCACTGAATTGCTGGTCAGAGGGCAGTGGCCAGGAAGGAGGAGAGCAGAAAGAGAAGAGGAGGCCCGAGGGCTGCTCCATGCGGCCAGGGTGAGGCCTGCTATCCTTCCCCGTGCCTGGCCTGGGGATGCGCCTTCTCGGTGCAGCCTTGCTCCCCTCTGGACCAACCGCCAGGTGCTCCCCTGGGTGGTGAGCCTGGCCGGTCCACCTCCCCTTACATGCTGTGGTGTCCCAAAGGCATGTCAGTGAAGCTGCTGACCCCCAGGCCTGGCAAACAGGCTGCCACTTTCCACGGCAGGGCTGTTACTGAGCCAGGGTCTTGGGGCCGGGGGCTCCCGGAGTCGCAGCCAAGGTTGAGGTGGGAAGACAGCGGCCACGAGAGCCGACCCTGGACCGGAGTATGCGCCCCTCTCCTCAGGGTGCACGAGCTGGAGGAGATGGTGAAAGATCAGGAGACCATGGCCGAGCAGGCCCTGGAGGAGGAGGCACGGCGGCACCGTGAGGCCTACAGCAAGCTGGAGAGAGAGAAGAACACGGAGATCGAGCTGCTCAATACCAGGTGGGCCTCGGCCAGGGATGGCCCAGCGCGCGAGACAGGGCCTCTCCACAGAGCCCTCTGCCCTCGGATGCACCCTCCACTCCTCATCCAGGCCTGTGGGACAGGCACTATCCCCATTGTGTAGATTGGAACACGGAGCCTGAAGGAAAGTCCCCTGTTCTAACAGTTCTCCTCTTGATACCTGAGCACCTGGACATGTTTGCCAGGAAGTACATAACAGAACCTTCGTAGTAGCATTGTTCATACTAGGTACAACTGGAAACAACACACATGTGTCAACAAGAGAACAGGTGGAAAAACATGGTTTTGCCCCTAGTCCTGGGCTGGGTCTGATGTCTGGGCTTGGAGCTCCCCCTGCTGTCAGATTCTCCCTGACCCTGAACGCTTGGGTGCACTGACCCTGGGCCCCAGGGGCCAAGGTAAATGAAGAGCAGGGCCCGGTTTCCTTCGGGCTTCTGAACCTCAGCGATAGCTGTTGGAAACTGAGGCAGGCAGAGAGAGGAATATTGACCTGGGAATCTGGGTTGGTCACCCTTTAGCTCCATGACTTTGGACCTACCGTGTCCTTTCCTGGGCCTCCATTTCCCCATCTGTCATCCCTCCTTCCCTGCCCCCCAGAGTGACCATGAAGGCAGGTGAGTTAGGGTGCTATGGTCCTCTCTAATGACCCAGGCCAGCGAGGCCCCCAGGAGACCACCGGGGTCCCTGGCAGAGAGGACACCTGCCCCTGTGCTCCTGGGGAGCCCCAAGGTGACAAGCGCGAAGGAGAGGGAATGTTTGGTAGGAATCAGTGGCAGAGGTGACCCTGCACTGTTCTGGTGCCACTGGTTGCCCACCTTCCCTGGCCTCGGGTCAGTTACCATGACCTGGGGACCTGGGCTGTGTCTCCTTGGGGAATCCCGTTAGCACGGCCCCCTGTGAACACTAACATAGAGGATTGGGACCGTCAGAACCAGGGCCTGTGGATGTGTCAGAGGGGGCCACTGGGCGAGCTGAGCGAAGAGCCTGGGGGGGCGATGCTGGGGGGAGAAAGACAAGCAAATATTGTCATTGCTCTCTGTGAGTTCTAACAGGAAAGTCTGGCCACAGCCGGCCACAGGACGACTTTCTCTCTGTTGAGCAGAAAAACATCCCTCCTAAGGACGCGTGCAAAAAGAATCCTATGTTCTTACTCACAAATGAATGTTTCCTTTTATCAAAAACATAAGGATGGGGCGCCTGGGTGGCTCAGTCGTTAGGCGTGTGCCTTCGGCTCAGGTCATGATCCCGGGGTCCTGGGATAGAGTCCCGCGTCGGGCTCCCTGCTCACTGGGAAGCCTGCTTCTCCATCTCCCACTCTCCCTGCTTGTGTTCCCTCTCTCGCTGTCTCTCTCTCTGTTAAAAAAATCAATAAAATCTTTAAAAAAACAACAACAACAACATAAGGATGGTCATTCAGTGTCTTTACCTTTTCGCCTTGGATGACAGGAAGCTTAAAGCTGTATTATCATCTGGAATAACTATTCATACTCTCTTGTTCTCTTGCTCTACCTCTGTTGCTTTCTGGTACCTTCCCTCTTGCAGGCAGCAGAGGATCGCTGCAAGTTGTCGATCTATTGTAAGATCATCTCCGTTGCTGACATTTTTGTCTTTCTCCTTTCCCCAGGGTACAGCAACTAGAAGAGGAAAATGCAGAGCTCAGAACAACAGTGACCCGGCTCAAGGCACAGACGGAGAAGCTGGACGAGGTGAGCGGCAGGTCTGGGCGTCTGTCAGACTCGGATCTTGAGCTCAATCCCCAGAGAGGCAATGTGGGCCACAAAGGCCTTCAGTTGCTAGTTTCTGGAATTCTAATAGAATTGCTCTAACAACAATAGGCAATAAAATATGAATAGTAATTTGTCTTTTTGTATTTCTGATTTTCCGAGGTTTTGTTTTGTTTTGTTTTGTTTTTTTGCAGTGAATATATTTTCTTATATAATGGGGGGAAAACAATAATAAAAAAGAGAGAAGGAGGTTAACTTCTGCTTGGCTGCACCTGATTCAGGTTTCATCCGGCACCAGGGAAGGACGTCAGAGGCCTGACATTTTTTAGCCGTGTTTCTAGAATCCTAAGGGACCAGGCTGTTTCTTTAAGCCCTGACTCCCAGGGCCCTGTCCGAGTCCCCGGGGCGTAGCGAGCCTCTCTGGGAACGCTCCTCCCTGACCGGGTCCCCCCCACTGCCCGCTTCAGGAGCGGCAGCGCATGTCCGACCGGCTGGAGGACACGAGCCTGCGGCTCAAGGATGAGACAGACCTGTACAAGCGCATGATGGACAAGCTGCGGCAGAACCGCCTAGAGTTCCAAAGGGAACGGGAGGCGACGCAGGAGGTGGGTCTCGTGCGGGGGGAAGCGGGGGAAGGGGGTGGGCACCAGGGCTTGCTCCCGCAGCCCCGCTCCCACCACCAACCCACCTCTGCCCACGCAGCTCATCGAGGACTTGCGGAAGGAGCTGGAGCACCTGCAGATGTACAAGCTGGACTGCGAGCGGCCAGGCAGGGGTCGCAGCTTGTCCTCTAGCCTGGGCGAGTTCAGTGCCAGGGCCCGCGAGGTGGAGCTGGAGCATGAGGTCAAGCGGCTCAAGCAGGTGGGCCCTTGCAGCCTCCCTCCCCACCGGATGGGTCTCCTCGGAGGGGCCAAGAGCTGTAACAGCGCCTTCCCTGACTGGCGGGGCTGCTCAGCCCCACCTCACTGCTCGGGGAGGCGGCTTCCCTCTAGGCTGCATCTGATGCAAACCCCAGGGGCTTTCCTTGGAGTCCCTACAAGGAAATAGACACCACTCTGCTGTCCTTGATGATGGGATGGAGAATGAGACTCTACCCAGTTGCAGACTGGTGCCTTGCTGTGTTGGGTTCTCCCAGAAGCAGACCCTGAGCCCAGGGTTCCATTTTAAATGGTTCCCAGGAACAACCCCATGGTCGAAGACCAGTTGGGGGAGGTTGGATCAGGAGGGGCAGAGACCAAGCGAGGGAGTGCTGGTGAGTGAAGCCCCCACTCAGCCTAGCCTGACCCTGGGGGCGGGGGAAACTGCTCTATAAATTACACTCCTGAGTCAGCTTCACCAGCATCCCCCAGCAATCCTAAAACCCCAGCCCTTCCGCATTCATGATGGGACGTCCAAAGTCCCAGGTGTGAGCAGTTAGTTAGGAGACTTGAGGCAAACACTAGCACATGGTGCTGGTCCATGAGGTCTGGGCAGGGCACCGTGGGGCCCCCTGTACTCGGGAGCAAAGATGCCCCTGGAAAGAGTTGTCCTGGAGCAGGATTCCTGAACCTAGCTGCAGGAGGAGCCTAGATCCAGCCTGCCAGCCCAGAGACCCCAGAGCATCACTCTTCATGGAGGGCCGGTGTTGGAAAAGGAGCCACCCAGTGGGCCGTGTCCCCATGTGGGGCCTCAGGAGCTCCTCTTCTGGCTCACCCACCCCCAGGAGCCCTGCCCCTATCTAGAAACTTAGTTCCCCTGAGCAGGCCTATAACTCCTCCTCAGGACCCCATGACCTCCCAACATCCAGACCTCCCCCCTAAGCCTGGCAGAGGCCACATCATCTATGGGCATCTTGAGCTGGCCATGACACACACGAGAGGAGGGTACTGGTGGGAGTCAGGAGACCGTGAATGCCAAGAAATGGGTTCTGGTGGGTTCTGAACATTTCTGGGAGCTGATGTTGCCCTTGTCCTACTCCACAGGAGAATCATAAGCTGCGGGATCAGAATGATGACTTGAATGGACAGATCTTGAGCCTCAGCCTCTATGAAGCAAAGAACCTCTTTGCTACCCAGACCAAAGCCCAGTCTCTGGCTGCAGAAATAGACACAGCCTCTCGCGATGAGGTAACATGCCCATTCGTTCTCACTTTGGAGCCTCGGCCCTTCCTCTGTCCTGTCCCATTCCCATGTGCTGTGACGAGAAGCCCAGGCCACCCCGAGCAGGAAAAGCAGACCAGAGCCGTGAGGGATTCTGGCTATAGGTGGAGTTACGTCAGTTCTGATTCCTCCATGCACTGGGAGAAGCATGGGTTTGGGAAAAGACAGAAACATGCCAGTTGATCAACATGCTTCCATCAACAGGTAGCACAGGAGAGGCTAGAACTCCTCTCCCTCAAGCCAAGAGGGGGAGGACCCTAGCCTTTCTTGAGCACCTGCTTGTAGTATATCTTCTGACAATTGGAAGGCTTTCTGGACGCTTCCATGTTACAGATTGGGAAACTAGGACACAAGATCACCCAACTTGTGGGGAGCGAAGGACCCAGGTCTCCAGAACCAAAGTCCATTCTTTCTGCCCCACCAGGGTGTGGTTATAAAAAATCAGGCCTCCAAAATGTCCTGGTTATATATTAACGTCAATCATTAAGAAGTCCCTGAATCCCTTATCCTGTGCTTGGGACACAGAGCTAAGAGCTGACCCCTCGTCTCAAGGGGCTCCAGCCTGGTGGCAGAGCCAGCATTTCCTCCTAAAGGACATGTCAGGAATGGACCCGCACGGGGTGGGGGGGGGGTTGGGGGCAGAGCTGGGGTGGCGAGGGGGCCATTTCAGGTAGAGGAAACGGCTAGAAACCTCAGGAGTCTTAGGGCCCGAGGACTTTGGATGTCATTCTTGATCATAAATGTCTTTGGCCAGTGTTCTCAGCCTATACCAAGTAATTGCTCCTACTTGGGTCCCTCCACAGACCAGCTGAATCCGAATCCCTGGGGGGCGGGGCCTGGGCACGTGCATGGCTCTCACTCCTTAGGTGTGAGAAGGGGCCCTCCCAGAGCTGCTGTAGCTTGCTTCTGGCATCCGAATGCCGAGGTTAGTCCTGCCTTGCCTGGGGGTCTCCTGAGACAAGGTCTGCCTTGCCCGGGGTCTCCTGAGCCCCTAGCTCGTTGGGCACCGGCTCACCGCAAGCTGGGAATCTGGGCTCTCTCTGCACCAGAGCCCGGGCCCGGCCTCTGACCCATGTCTCCCATTCCCTCCAGCTCATGGAAGCCCTGAAGGAGCAGGAGGAGATCAACTTCCGGCTGAGGCAGTACATGGACAAGATAATCCTTGCCATCCTGGACCACAACCCCTCCATCCTTGAGATCAAACACTGAGACAAAGGATGGCTGCAGAGCGGCCTTGGGGACCCTCAGACCCCGGGCCCTGGGACCAAGGGGCAGACCCCGCTTGAGGATGCGGCCCAAGCCGGGCCTCACACACACACACACACACACACGCGCGCGCGCCGCGCACACACACACACGCACACACACACTGTAAATGTATCTCTGGCCACCATGTCGTGTGTACTGGTGTGTATGTGGAGGAATCCATGCACGCAGCAAGGCGTGAGTGTGGGGCAGTGGCCCTGGGTGACCTCTGTACCGTCCCTGTGCACGCACTCCGTGGCCCCTTTGCAAGGGCAGATGGTCCTGGAGGTGGGAGGGGCAAGGTCTGCGATCAGGAGTTACTGTAATAACAAGAACTGGAAGGTGGTGTTTCAGACACCAGACAAAAATGATTCTACCTCTGGGGAGAAGGATTAAAACACGCTCTAGTGAGACAGGCTCTTTCACCCCACCCCTGTTCCCTCTGGGAGTGGGAGCCAATTTCTGATCTTTTCCAGGAGTTCAAATGCCCAACAGCTGCATCCTCCCCAACCTCTGTGGCCACCTTTGAAGCCTAGGTGCTCAGGCTCTGAAAAGATGAAGGGGCCCTCCCAGAGCCCCTCCCCGGCTGGCAGCCCCCCGCTATCCTTGGGCACTGTGTGTCCAAAGGACTCAGGCTTGCAGAGGAGCTAATGTGGGGCGACCTTCATTCTAAGAGTTCTTGGTATTTTAGAGTTCTCTGTACACTTCCCCATCCTTGCTTACCTACCTCTTTCTGTTTTATTTTTAAGACCATGAAAAATAAGCAGCATTTAACTTGGGGGTACAATGAAGAGATTCAAAAGAAGGAGACGGGGGGAGCTGGGGGCCAGGGGTGTCTAAAGTACGTGTTGGCATTGGGCATCCAAAGACCTGCTTTTCAGGGAGGAGCATGCTCACACCCCTGTTCGTTTCCTTCCCTCTGGCTGCATTTTACCAGAAGAGAAGAAAAACACGGAGGGACTGTTTCCATGGCATCGGCGGGCAAGGAGTGGGCCTTGCTGCCCAGCTCCCAGTCTCCACACGGCCTGGGGATTCTGAGCTCTGGGCTTAGCTCAGCTGGGTGTCGAGGGCCCCGGGTTCCAACTGTTAGAAACACTCTTGCATTCTGCTCTCAGCCAGGCACGGTGTGCCGGTGAGAGACACAGTTGGGGACGTTGTAGGGAAACCTTAGTTTTCCATCCTCAGTGGCACGTGGTGGAAATGCACACTCTGGACTTTTAATGTGATCTTTTGTTCTAGGCAGCTGGGAGTAGATAGGGTACTTTGAGCCTTCCAGTTTATCTCAGTGGTACATGGCTTGTGATTCGTTTCCTTAATCCAAGTATATTTGAACATGTACGGTCTTAATCTTTTCCCCTGCAGTTTCTTCTTGTCTTCAGTTCTGGTGTAAAAAGGAAAGTTTGGGCATGTTGGGGAGGGGCTGGAGGGGTGTTTGCTGGGAAGAGAGGGCTGTAGAGGGTGAAGAGGGGCTTGGGGGCTTGGGGATGCACGTTCCCTGTTCACAAGGGCAGGGCTGTGACCAGGACTGGTCTTCACTCCATGCCAGTCACCTTCTGCTGTTGTTGGATCGTGTGATTTCTCTTTAAGTTCATGTGTGAGATTTGTTTCATGCCGCAGATAATGGGGCTGCGTTGGTCCGATCCAGGACTTTGGGGTCGGCCACCCCAGGAAGACTAGGGCAAGGGGTCCATCTTCTGAGAGTCTCTCAAGCCCCTAGGATGCTGGTGTCCTTGGGCTCCTCCGGGGGTCTGAGAAGCAGCAGCGGCAGTAGAAAGAAGGCAGGAGGAGTGGGTCTCTTGAGAATTTGCTAAAAGGCGGCAGTGGCCCCGAATTAAAGGAAAGAAAATGTATCATGACTTGGCTTTGGTCTGGATTTTACATTGGAAGGAGTCCTTCGGAGGCCAGCCAGATCAAGATCCTGGTCCGTGGGGGACTCGCCCTAGGAGTGAGCATTTTGTATGTAAAACTTTCTGTGCTCTTTAGCTGCATTGATACGGAATTCCAGAGAAGGCCCCAGAGGCCTGGGTTACACAGTCACTATGTGGAAGGGAATTTCTGCTTTGTTGAAAAGGGGTGGACAGCGGTGGACTTGCAATGTTTCTGCCCCCTTCCTGAAGGGGGCGCAACAGGAGCGGCCTCGTCTGAAAGGCCCCCAGGGATCTGGTGCTGTGCATGGAGGTCTCTGGAAGAGGGAGACTAAACTCCATGTCACCCAGGCCTCAGGTTCAATCCAACCTTCTTCAGCCAAAATCGTCTTAAAAAAACCTAGGCTGTCATTCTAGTTGGCTTTTCAAGATCATGTCGTGTTTTTAACTGCTCTTCCATGTGTGAAAGCTAGCCTTCGGGAGGCACATGCGGCCAGGGTCCCAGCCCCGTGGACCCCAGCGAGGGTTCCAGAGCGGTACTGACTCTGGGAGCAAGTGGGGCAGACCCCGCCCCCTTCCTGGGCTTCCCCCTCCTTTGTGTGTTGTCTGATTGAGAGTTCCCCTCTTCTCTCTGGGTGCTGGACCTGCTTAGGTAGTACACATGAGGACCAGCGCGGTGTGCCTTTCAGGCAAACAAAACACAACTAGTGGAAGTTATGTTCCAGGCAATACTTGGGACACATCTCAAACGGAGAGATTTTAAAAATTCTGATACCTGGGCCGAATCCCCAGAGGATCCGATTTCGTTGCCGTGGGGTGTGGCCCAGCTACTGGAATGTTTAAAGAACTCCCCCAGGTGATTGTAACTTAACTGGGTGCCCAGGTGCGTTTTGTTTTTTGTTATTGCTAAACCTGGCAACTCCACCTAGTAGGGATTAGTAGTAACTCTTCCAAAGTTGAGCAGTGTTTCGGGGGCACTCGGAGGGAGTCCTACAACAGACCCACATTTTACACGGCACTTGGCTATCCTTACATTCAACGGGAAGCCAACAAAATTTGCAGAATCAGTGAGTGAGCTTTATAAAGTTCTAGTAAAAAAAAATAATGTATATTTTAAACTTTGAATTGGCCAAGTTAGACAAATTATTTTAAGTTTGTACATTCTTTGAGAATTGTCAGAGGGAAATGCCTTTATTTTGACTTTATTTCTCACTTATTACAAACACAGAGCTCGAGAACCTCCCAAGGCACTTGGACCCGAAACAGTGGTTTTCGACTTGGGCTGTGCATCGGAATAACCCCGGGGAGATTTTCGAAATTCTGCTGACTGAGCTGAACCACACCGCTGCCCCACCCCAAGATTCCAGTGTAATTGGTGTGGGTGTGGCCCAGGCATCCAGATGTTTAAAGAGTTCCCCAGGCCATGCTGATGTGTGGCCCAAGGTTGAGACTAGAAGGTTCCTAGTCAGGGATGGAGAAAACGGGTGGAAATGGCTGTCGGGTTTGTTAATCCAGGTGCTACCTTAACAGTGGGGGTGTCGGTGGCTTTGATGGATGGTGAGAAGTGAGCAGATCCCTCACCCCAGGGATGGGAGGCCAGATGCCTTCAGGAACTGGTGTACCAAGCTGTTCTCTCCAGCCTGGGGGTTAGCAAACCTGAGTGGGCAAGTCTCCGCCTGGTGCCCATGGGGTCACGCACAGGCCCATTCTGGAGTCACGGGTCCGGAAGGGGCTGTCCCCCCTGAAGCAGCCCCAGAAATAGTCTTCGACTCACACAGCTGAGCAGGAGGGGACACTGGCCTCTGATCCGTTTTCAGGCTGGGTGGAGGAGTGTCACCCCAGCTCTTCCACTGTTAGTAGTCAAACCAGCATCCCAGCCCATGTTCTGGAGGCTCCGGGCTCTCATCTGCTGGCAAGTCTGGTTCCTGAGCCCGTCAGGTATAGTGGTCAGGAGGGCACTGTGAAGGCGCTTTGGTTCCAAGGAGGGACTTCGTAACCGGCAGAAACCTGCAGGGGCCAGTGAGGCCTGGTGGCTCACGGAAGAATTAAGCCCACTTTTTGTGCTCTGTGGCTATGTGTGTTTAATGCATTAGCAAATTTAAACCTAAAAGCAGGGAAGTTTGGGGATGGTCACCATGCCAAGGAAATGACCATTTGCCTGGCAGATCCATAGCAACTCTATGAAAGCGCTAAGGAGGATTTTAGGTTGAAGACTTCAGTGCTGGCCCCCTCCCCGGTCATGCCTCCTTCGGGACTTGGGCAGCCCCTCTACGGCGATGCTTCAGGCTGGTCCCCCCCTGCCTGTTGAGGGGCCACATATCCCCAGGTGACTTCAAGCAAGTTCCTTCCCTTGACTCACTGACCTTAGGGACCTTCTGGGCCTGCCCAGCCGTGTGGCAGAACAGCTCTAAGGCCCTTCTGCCACATTCTCTGCTGCCTACCTGAGAAAATGGGGTGCCTTCTGGAAAGGTTTCTAAAAGCATAGACTCCGGTGAAGTGTGATGCTTACATCACTCCGATCTTGTAGGCTCCTTCTCGCTTCCTGAGACTGTAGGGGGAGGGCTGTCTGCCCCGAGCCACCAGCAGGAGGGTGACTGAAAATGGCATGCCAGGGCTGCCCACGCAGGACATGAGTGCTGCTGCCGGGGCGGGGGGGGGGCCTGCGCCTCCTGCTGGGTCCCTCTGCTTTGCTGTGCTGCACAGGCTGTGTTTTGTCTGCATGGTTTGGGGTCGTCGTCCTTGTGCCTTTTTTCTTCCCTGTCGCTGCTGTACAGGACTTTCCATGTCCCCACCGCCCCTTTTCTACATCCTCTTGTTCCCCTGGTCCTTCCCGAGCCCTGTAAATGTGTACATAGCGTCCCACTTGGTGTCCGCGTGCCCCCACCACAGCCGGTGTGCTCCCAGGCCAGGTCTCCCCGCACGCCGACCCACGTGGAGAGGCTCCGCTCTGTTCGCTCGGCCTGGCAGATTTGGTAACTTTGTACAGAACTCTTTTTACCGTGGTCTTCAGCTTGGAGGGCTCGGACCCTCTTAGCCCCTCCGTGCAGCCTGCAGCTAGTTTAGAAGCCTTGCACACCAGAAAAGGGTAACTGTAAAGCACCTTCTCCCACAAACCTCTTCCCCTGCATTGGTGTCAATATTTGTAGAAAGCTGGGCGCCCCTTCCTCACGGCGGGCCCTGGCCTGGGCAGGGACGTCATGGGTCTGCAGCAGCTCCCCTGGTCCCAGGGGAAGCTCCAGCAGTGGGGGACTCCCAGTGCTTGGCATTGGGCTGCCTTCAGGACCACTGCCGTCTGGTGTCTCTAACAGCCTTGGACTCCAAGTGGCCATAAAGAGGAGGCTTCTGGCGGCTGCCCCGGCCCGTCATTAACATAACAACTGCCGAGCTCTTCCTCCTTTGCCCAAGGTGCTCAGACCCGAGTGCCATTAATTCCCCAGCTGCGGGCTAGACTGGCCTTGTTGAGGACTCACGCGCGGCCTGCCGGCTCCCTTCATCCCAGCCCTTACCGCTTTCTTGGCTGGGACCCCAGGGGCCCAGATTGGATAAGCTGCACGTATGGCCTCATGCCCTAGGGTTTGTTAGATGGCTTTGACTCTGGGATTCTCCTTGAGTCCCACCCCAGGAGCCTCCAACTGGAAGCAGGCTTAGCTTCAGGGCTGGGCTGAGACCTCCACCCCCAGGCTCCGGGGGAAGGGGAGGGGGGAGGCCCAAGGCTATGTCCCAGGGCCTTGAGCTCTCCGCCCCCTACCTGCTTCTAGCCAAAAAGGAGCAGGCTCTCAGAGGCAGGCTCCTTCAGGAACTCTAATGTACAGACCAAGGTGTAAATAAATAGTTTGCTTTTCTTGCCTGACTTGATGGTGAGTTTCTGTGGTTGGGGGAGGGAGGGTGAAAGAGGGAGACCTGGTTCCAGGGCTCCTGGGGACAGACCGTCTTCTTCAGGAAGAGAGGCCCCACCCAGCATACCAGGGTGGCTGGTGCTGTCCTCCAGGTGCAGGGCAGAGCAGGGGGTCACCCCACAGACCCTCGTTTTGGCCCGCTGTCCCTAGGAGAGGAGATGTGGATCCCAAAAGCCCCTGTAACACCACCATGTCCATCCCCAGGGCTATGATGTTCAAAAACCTTGTCTTTGCCGCAACCAAGTCCCCTTTCCCAGCAAGGACCTCCCGGGGGTCTTCAGGTTGCCCTGGTCACTCTAATGGGGCTCCAGGGACATCTTCCTCCATGTCCACCACTGTGACTCCCCTGGGTCACGGGCTCAAGTCCTCCCCTCAAATTTGGTTTCAGACCAACCTGACAGCACGAGTCCTGCTAAGCCCAGGAGCATCGACGTAGCTCCAGGTTGAGTGGCCCAAATGCCCAGCTTTCTGCCCTCTGCCCCTTCCTTTTACTATGGGATTCCAGGTGTGGGGAAGGGATTCACAGGTGGCCCCGGCCCAGCACCTGGAGAGGAGTCTGCTCTCCCTGTTGGCCCAGACCCTCAGGACAAGCAGGACCAGGTCCCTCCACGTCCCCACACAGGCCCTTGTGTGGTGGGTCTGCCTGGG